AAAAGCTACAACTTTTTGCATTTATTTATTTCCGTTTTGCGTACAACTAAAATTGTTTTCTATTTTGTACTTTTTTTTTTAGTTTTCTGTTTTCATTTCAATATTTATTGCTCAATTGCTTTAATACGCACAAAACTATAGACCAAAGCATCATGTGCGGGCAAAAAAAAAAAAAAAAAAATCATAATAGTTTTACGTTTTTTTTTCCTTTACTCACAATTTTCAATATAAATTGATTATTTTTCAATGCTTTAAAGTTTTTGGGTGAGGTTTTCAGTTTTTAGTTTTGTTTTTATTTTTGTGGCATCATTTACTATGAGTGCAATTTCAATATAAATTGCTTTTTTATTTTATTTTTGTTTTTCGTTTAAATTTTTATTGTTATTATTTTTTATACATATATATTTTTTTGGTTTTATTTGAAGTTGTTATAGTTTTATAGTAGTGTTTAGTGAAACTAACATTTAGTGTTTTTTAACACGCAATTGAGTCTTTTTTAATGTTTTTAACACTAATTCCATTTAGGGTTTTTTTTTTTTTTTTTTGTTTTGTTCAGAATTTAATTTAGTGGGGCTTAGGACATGTCGGTACCGTTAATCATGGGAAATTTTTATGGTTGTTATCAGGCCATCTAGCGATTATGGGTAAATAGTTCTAGTCATACATACAATATAGTTTAATAGAAAGAAATAACTGTTGCTCACTGTTATTTTTCATAATTATATTTCTATTATTTAGCGACATTAGTTATTATTATTGAATATTAAAATTTAATTTGTTAATAGATTCGCTTTTCATACACGTATGTTTAATTATAATAAATTATTTTCAACTAAAATTATGATAATAAATATTAGCGATAAAATAAATTTAATAAATTTATGACGTGCTTTATATCAAGACTTGAATTACAAAAACATTTTTCACTTTTTTATTAATAGGTAATAGATATTTACATGAATAATCGTTAATTTACTGCAAGACTGGAATAACTAAAAATTTTGATTTTTTAACTATATAAGTAATATGAAATATGTGCCTTTCTAAAGCCTTCATGACGATATTTTTATACTCTACACCACTTTAGTGGGGATGGTATATTGGGTTTGTGCGGATGATTGTAACATACAAAAATATTCGACCCACCTTAAAGTATACCAATCGGCTTAGAATCGTTTTCTGAGTCGATTAAGCTATGTCCGTCTGTCCGTCCGTCTGGCTGGCTGTCCATGTAAACCTTGTGCGCAAGGTACAGTTTTTAAGATAATTGGATGAAATTTGGCACACACTCTTTTTTCGCCTATTGAAAATGGTTATTATCCATTATTTCACCTAGCCCCCATACAACAGAACCCCCCGAAAAGGGCTTCTGAGCTCATAATTATGTTAAATATACATGTATATTGAGAAAAAGCGGCACAACTAAGTTTTATACAAGCCTTGATGACTGTGCCAAATTCCATAGAGATCGGGCCTCATTTGACCCTAGCTCCCATACAAAGTCCCCTTCAGAAAATTTCTTGAATGTCCAAAATTAACTTATAAATACAAATATCGCGATGAAATTCAGCACAATAAAATATGTAAATATAAATTTATTTTCAAAATTTTATCGGGCTTGGTCCATATTTGGCCCTAGCCCCCCTATAAAGCCTCTTTCAGAAAATTAGTTTTTCATCCATAAATTGCTTAAATGTATCGGAACAAGGTAATAGAAGATAAATGCTTTATTATGAAAAATAAATCACATTTAATATTCATAACTAGTGTAGGGTATCATATGGTCGGTCACGCCCGACTATACTTTCTGACTTGTTTTAAGTTATATCAGTCTTTAAGTAAATGATCGATATGTCCATTGGCATAATACTATCGCTTCGCACTTTAAAGTACGTGTTCCACTGCAAATCGATTTTCTAAAACACAAAACAAACAATAAATTTACATTTTTTTTTTAACATTTGTAGCGGAAAATTTATTACCGCTCAAAAAATCTAATCTATTTGGAAATGCCCGATTTAAAATTTAAAAAATTTTCTGAAATGTAATGAACATAAGGGTTTTCAATCAATACAAATTGACAAGTGTGAATAATTTATTGATAAGTGTGAATAATTTAATTTGAATATGACATTTTCATATCAAACATCAAAAACTTCCTTGTTTCTCTACATATATTCTTTAAAATCTAGACATATATTTACAAGACCTTTTCCCATCATATTAATGAGTTTTATCATATTCGTGCAGAGGATATCCTTTTCACAGGCTGTTTATGCTAATTTTACAATCAATTCTGGAATTGTACTGTTCTTAAAATTCTTGAAAATGTAATTATGTATTTTAGCTATTGTTTTAACGTCCCCAATCGATTTAACGATGTCTGTCCATCCATATGTCCTTAAAGGAGTCATTTTCAAAAAATAGATAGCAATTTTCAAAATAATTTGATGCAATTTGGCTCAAACGTGCCTTTTGGGTCTAGTACTATGCGTGTTGAAATTTTTTGAAATTGGTCCATTATTTCACCTATACCCCATACAAGCGCGCTGATACTAGTCAATAAACAACTCTTTAGACTAGTCTATATACTACTCTATGGACTAGTCAGTAGACTAGTTTATAGACCAGTTCAGAGACTATTTCATAGTGTAAATTAGTATATCGTCACCTGAAATGCAAAAAGACGTAACAACCAAAAATTTTAAAATCGACTTTTTGATTGAAAATGGTCAATTACATCCAAATAACATCAATTTTATTAACATGAAATTCAAAAGGGCATAACAACAAATTAGTTTTTTCCACAAGTCAAAATGTCCTAAAAAGCAACACAATAGAGAATGCCTGAGTCACATTTATAATCAAACATGTTTATTTATGTTAGGATATATATGGCAGAAAGAGACATTTTTATAACAATAGTTTCATTTTTTTTTTAGTTTTTTTGTTTCTCCTGTAACATTTTGAAAAGTGTTGTTACGCCCTTTTGAATTTCAGGTGACGATATGTAAGTAGGTTAATCCATATACTAATCCGTACACTTGTCAATAGACTACTCCAATAGTTTAGTCAGAAAAAGGCTCATACTACAGACTCAAAAAGATATTCGCAATAGTTTAATGATGATAGGAGAGGGTGAGGTTAGATCGACAAATCCAATGAAATATTGATCTTCAGTTTCCTGGATGTAATTGCTTAAAATTTTCTAGTGCACGATATTTACAGCTAATTTGGAAGAACATCTGACAATGACAAAAAAATGCCTTACAGTTTCACTGTCCTCTCCACAGGCTCTACATTCGTCTGAATCCTTACTTTTTGTATAGTCCTAATCCTATGTGTCCACTCAGAAGACGTACCATCATACTAAGCTCGAACATTATTAATTTCAAGGAGTCTTCTCGTCCTGCTCCCGTTGCGGTCACCCCATAGGATCTTCGTGTTTCTAGCCACCATTTCATTATTCCAAATGAACATATGCGTTATCTCGTCTATAATTTCCCCTTCCCTTTAAATCAAGTTCATTCGCTCTTTCGTGGCCAACTACTCCAAATTGCCCTGGTATCCATATTATGTAAAGCTTACCTCAGGAAGAGTATTCGACTAAAGCTTTCATCAAATCCAATATGGATCTGATCACCTGATATCGCCTTAATTTCCTTTTGGATGTTATTCCCTGTTGGCGCTATATTTGGTCTTGTAAACACACACAACTTGTGTGGTCATCCCTAAACCCAACCTAGTGTTGTGATTAGATAGACGGCAGTATATTTAATTTCTGCGTCTTCAATATAGAACCCTAGGTCTGTTTTGTCCCCCAGTTTAGAATAATTCTCAGCGGATTCCTATGGCTATTTGCTTTAATGTTCCTCTGGACCATGACATTCTTTGTGGGATTAGTGTTTCAAAGATCTCGACATATTCTGTGTCTGCTATGCAATCCCATGTTTGTGTAAAGCCTTCCAATGTCATTAATGTCGTGTATCATTAATGAAGTGAATTATAACAAGGCACATCGGTACTGGGCGCTATATAAGAGAACAATAGGCATTCAATTGGCCTATAGTCCTACTATGAATTTATGATTAGACCATTTCTAACTTATGCTTCAATAATATGATGGACTTCTTTAAATAAAAAGTGTAATATCAAACTACTACTATGGCTCTGAAAACGTTGCTAGATATTTCACCCATTGAAACATATATAAGATATGAGGTGAACTTACAGCCGGCACTTAATATTAGGCGAAGTTTAATGATGATTAGTAGAATCTAGTGTCAACATTCTTATTTTATTAAATTATTAAAATTTTTCTAAATTTTTCTAAATTATTAAAATGTTTCTTTATACGATTCACAATTTCCTTTTAAGTTATCTTAAGGAGGTCTTTGCTTTTTAATGTCTAACTTTTTTTGAAAATTAAAAAAAAAACTTAATGTCTGTTACATTCAAATGTAATAAAATTGCACAAAGAGTATTGCTACTACACCCATCTTATAAAACATTTGATAAATACTAATTATATCCTACAACACTTTAGTGGATAGGGTTTGATTTGAGCTGATGTTTGTAACGCATAGAATTAATGGACCTATACCCTTCTTAAAGTATACCTATCGACTCAAAATCATTTTCTAAGTTGTCCATCTGTCTGTCTGTCTGCCTGTCCATATAAACATTGTAATCAAACTCCAGATAGCAAATTTTGAAGATAATTCGATGGAATTTAATATCGGTCCTTTATTTCAACTAGACTCACTTCAACCAGATTACCTAAATTAGAGCTCATTATTATGCCAAATTTACTAATATCTCTCTTCAAAAATGGGTACAACTACGTTTTATATAATCACACATAATACTACAATAATAGTCCCCTACAAAGTTACTCTCTAAAAATGATTAGTTATTAGGTTTATTAAATGATTTTATATATGATATTTTAAAAACCCTTTAACCTTTAAATATGCAAATTCAAACTAAGTTTTACTTACCATTTGTATTAAAGATTTAAGTATCCTTTATTTTAATAAATATTAGTTCCAATATCAATCATTAATCCTGTTTAATAGCAACGAGTATTTCAGTGTAATAATTTTAATGTTAATCCTTTAAAAAATTATCATATTTAAATGAAATTACAGCTTCCATTTGTAATAATTTACAACAAATAGTTGTTTATATTTTTTTTATATTCTAGCGGATTTGATTGAGAGCTGTACATGAATCATTTAATTAATATCATTAGTATAATTTGACATATGAGTGATATTTAATTAATATTTATAAATTTATTACGATTTTTTTTTACAACACTATTGATGGATTGACACTTTTTTTGATGATAATCAAGGGAATACAATTATAATACTTTTTGATGTTATTATTTTTTTTTCAGAAAAACTAGAGCAAATATTTTTTTCTTTTTTTTTCTAGGTTTTGGTTTTAATATTATTTTTATACACACAGCAATATTTATAGCAATTTTTTAAAAGATTTTTTATTAATGATACTCATCTATCAAGTATGAGTTATTAATAATATTAATATTAAGATATTACTTATACGCAGTGGTAGCAGGAAATATTTTGTTATTTTTCTATGAAAAAAACGCTTTAAACACTTTTAATTATTGATAATATATTTTTAATTATTAAGCTTTGTATAGATTATAAGCTTTTAAATACATATTTAATATAGAAATGCTATTTTATTTAATTTACTTTTTTTGCAAATGCCTATGACTGATATGTAATAAATTTTAATTTTTTTTGTTGGTACTTTTTTTAATTAAACACTTTTTTCTTAAATTTTTTGTTAATATTTTTTAAATTTATTTAATTTTTTTTTTTCTTAATTTACACTTTTTTAATTAAATTTTAATTTCAATTTATTTTAATTTTTCTTTTAAAACACTTTTTTTTTGGAATTCGAAATTTAGTATTTTTTCTTTCTTTTAGGTTAAATTACACGTCGCGCTTTTTTTAATTTTTTCAAAACAAATTGCGTTGAAATCGTTGCGTAAAGATTTTACCACGAAACACGTTTACGCCTCAAAATACCGCCATTGACTAAATGTTTGTTGAAATTATTCAATATTTGGCCAATATTTGTTTTACTTATACATATGTATTAGTATTTGTAGCAGAGTTGTTATAATAAAAACAAAAAACAATCCCTTATACTTCTGGTTTAATTGTAGACAACTTCCAATCCTTTTAGATTCACGTGTTATTATTGAAATAAAAGCTTTTTCACACTCCTCATTTAACAAAATCTCTTATATTTTGGTTAAATGCGCACTCTCTTTTAAATGTTTTCATATCCTTGCTATATTAAAAAAACATCTCTCTTACTCTATTCCTTTTCCTTTTCTTCTCACTTTATATTTATTTACATTTGATTCCAGTAATGTTTATAGCTCATTGTGGGTTTAACTAAATTGTGGGAGAAAAATTGGCATGTTGAGGACAAAAAACGTGGACTACCACAATGTTGTTAAAATTGTGCTATTTTTTGTTAATTGTAACCTTATTAAGTTGAGTTTTGATTTTTTGTTTTTTTCCTGTTTTTGTTTTTTGCTGTTTTCAGCTCTATGGAGACTAGTTATTTTAGGTGCACAATTTAACTTGTCTGGTTTGTCGTTAATGTATTTCTTTGAAGTGGCTGTAGTTTAGTTTAGTAGTTTAATAACGTTTTTCGTTGTACATTTAGCTTTTTTGAAATTACTAAAGAAATTCGCCAATAAAGAGCATAAAGTTAATTAGATACATTTTAAGACAAAACTTAATAATTTTAAAAGTTGGTAAACAATTTTTTTGAGTTTTTGGTTAATAACTATTCAAATTGAAATATTTACAAGAGTATTCTTAAAGGAGTTTTACTGTCTTAATTATAACAATATATCAAAGGTTTATAGAACCTTTCATTATTTGTTATTAATAAGGTCTTTAAGATATATTTAAAATATAATTATGCATAGAAACATGAAACAAAATTTTAGTATAAAATCAGATTTTTAGTGAAAAAAACGACTTTAAGAGAAAAATTTGAGTTTTAGTATAAATTTTTAGTATAAAATTATAATTTTAGAATTAAATTGGATTTTTAATGAAAATTTGGATTATTTGTGAGATATTACATTTTTTGCAAAAATATATAAATTTTATATTTTTTAGTAAATTTTAGTGAAATTTCAATTTTTTTATTAAAAATAAATATAATAATATATTTAAATATAATAATATATTGAAATATAACAATATATTTATAATAACTCCAATTATTTGTAATATTTTTTACGGAAATTTTAAATGTTAAAAAATGTAAAGTGAGGCGTGGCCGACCATATGAAATCCACCAGTTATGAATATTAAATGTGATTTATTTATACCCTACACCACTATAGTAGGGAGGGTATTATGCGTTTGTGCTGATGTTTGTAATACCCAATAATATTGCTTCTACACCCACCTCAAAGTCTACCAATCACTTTCTGAGTCGATTTAGCTATGTCCGTCCGTCTGTCTGTCCGTCTGTCTGTCCGTCTGTCTGTCTGTGTGTAAACCTTGTGCGCACTCTACAGGTCGTAATTATCAAGACAATTTGATGAAATTTAGGACATGCTCTTCTCCTAACCCAAGGACGAATCCTATTGAAAATGGTTAAAATCGGTCCATTATTTCGTACAGCCCCCATACAACTGTAGCCACCGAATAGGGCTTTTGAACTCATAGATATGTTAAAGGTTTTTGTATCACTGAAAAAAACGGCAAAACTTAGTTTTATAAAAGTTTTAATGATACTGCTGATTTTCGTAATGATAGGGCCTTATTTGACCCTATCACCCATATTAAGCCCCCTTCAGAAAATGACTTGAGGGTCAAAATTTACTTATAAACACTAATATCACGATGATATTCTGCATAAATGACTAATGTAGACGTAAATTCCTCTACCAAAATAGGACCATATTAACCCCTGCCCCCATTTAACATCTCTTTTTGAAAATCCCTCTTTTGTCAACAAATTGTATGGGGGCTAGGTGAAATAATGGACTGATTTTTACCAATAGGCTTTGTCCTTGGGTTAATAGAAATGTATGTGGCAAATTTTATCAAAATATCTTAAAAATTGAGATCTGTACTTTGATAACAAAGTTTATATGGACACTCGGACGGACGGACATCGTTAAATTGACTCAGAAAGTTATATTGAGTCAATGGGTATACGTTAAGGTAGGTATAGTACTAATATTTTAGTGTATTATAAACTTCAGCACAAACGCATTAACGATAAATTTTTTATATAAAATTAAATTTTAGTAAGTAGTCCATTTTTAGATGGCCCAAAATGTCTCTTGGTATAAAAATATTTTTTTTAAATTGAAGGGATCTTGAAAAAATGTTCAAATTTGTTATGAAATTTTCGATATTTTTGAAAATGGAGGCAAATGTAATGCTTTTAAATATTACAGCAAAATTTTGAACTTTAAAAATTATTTTCAGTTATCCTACACGTATGAGTAATATTTAATCTATTTTAACCATCAAACGCTATGGGTAGAAACAACAATAACCATTTATATATTTATTTCTTTATTTATAAATTTTGTTTTAAATTCTATATTTCTCAACCACATTATTGAAATATAGAATCATTCCATTCTAACCAAACAAATAACTATCTTTAAAAATATTCTCATAAAATAAGTAGTAAAACTTATCATTAAATTGTAATAATAATTACATTTGTGGTTTTTAAACTAAAATATAAAAGAAAATAATATTTATTTATCAATAATTATAAAACATTATAAAACAAAATTATATAAACATAATTATTTTCTAAAAATTTCCATTAAAATAACATAAAATATATATTACCCACAAAAACTATTTAAATAAATATAAGCGACAATAATATCTAAAAAATTAAAACAAAATAATATATTAAAATTAAAAACTTTGTCATTAAAAAACTTAAATCCACTAACAACAACTGTAATGCCACAAACTAAATACATATACATACATACATATTAACGTTTTTTACTCATAGCAAGGAAAAAACGAAAAAACATTAAATAATTTTATATTGCTGAGTGTTTTCCCTCAACTTAAATCTAATTGCACAACTGTGTATTAACAATTACATGACTGTTGTGTATTTAAAAAATAAAAAAATATAAAAATACAAAAAATGTAGAAAAAATGTAACCAAAGGCTAATTATTTTTATGTTTTCAAACTTTTTCTGGTATGTATGTATTTTTTGAGCTGGTTCATATTTTTTCAATTCATAATTTTCAGTTTCAGTTTTTAATTTTTTCTATTGCTGTGAGCAAAGAAAAATAAAAACCACAAAAATATATACAAACACACACAGACACATGGGAATGTATGCTGCAAATAGGTGCAAGTACAAATGTTAATATTCGTATTACTTACTACTACCATGCCTAATGCTGCTACTGCCACTAACACATTTATATACATAAATATGTATGTAATATTATGCAGCTCATTGAAACACAAACAGACTCTCATACACATATGGTAACTTGCATGTTATTTAGCATGCATGAATATATTCATTTGGACAGTAAGTCCTTCTTTAATGAGGAACAACAAGACAAATACAAAATGGAAAATGTGTTTTTCTATCATACTCAGTTATAATCTAAACTTAAGTAGAACTGAACTAGAACTGAACTAGAACTGAACTAGAACTGAACTAGAACTGAACTAGAAACTGAACTAGAACTGAACTAGAACTGAACTAGAAACTGAGCTAGAACTGACTAGAACTGACTAGAACTGAACTAGAACTGAACTAGAACTGAACTAGAACTGAACTAGAACTGAACTAGAACTGAACTAGAACTGAACTAGAACTGAACTAGAACTGAACTAGAACTGAATTAGAACTGAACTAGAACTGAACTAGAACTGAACTAGAACTGAACTAGAACTGAACTAGAACTGAACTAGAACTGAACTAGAACTGAACTAGAACTGAACTAGAACTGAACTAGAACTGAACTAGAACTGAACTAGAACTGAACTAGAACTGAACTAGAACTGAACTAGAACTGAACTAGAACTGAACTAGAACTGAACTAGAACTGAACTAGAACTGAACTAGAACTGAACTAGAACTGAACTAGAACTGAACTAGAACTGAACTAGAACTGAACTAGAACTGAACTAGAACTGAACTAGAACTGAACTAGAACTGAACTAGAACTGAACTAGAACTGAACTAGAACTGAACTAGAACTGAACTAGAACTGAACTAGAACTGAACTAGAACTGAACTAGAACTGAACTAGAACTGAACTAGAACTGAACTAGAACTGAACTAGAACTGAACTAGAACTGAACTAGAACTGAACTAGAACTGAACTAGAACTGAACTAGAACTGAACTAGAACTGAACTAGAACTGAACTAGAACTGAACTAGAACTGAACTAGAACTGAACTAGAACTGAACTAGAACTGAACTAGAACTGAACTAGAACTGAACTAGAACTGAACTATAACTGAACTAGAACTGAACTAGAACTGAACTAGAACTGAACTAGAACTGAACTAGAACTGAACTAGAACTGAACTAGAACTGAACTAGAACTGAACTAGAACTGAACTAGAACTGAACTAGAACTGAACTAGAACTGAACTAGAACTGAACTAGAACTGAACTAGAACTGAACTAGAACTGAACTAGAACTGAACTAGAACTGAACTAGAACTGAACTAGAACTGAACTAGAACCGAACTAGAACTGAAGTAAAACTGAACAAGAACTGAACTACAACTGAACTAGAACTGAACTAGAACTGAACTAGAACTGAACTAGAACTGAACTAGAACTGAACTAGAACTGAACTAGAACTGAACTAGAACTGAACTAGAACTGAACTAGAACTGAACTAGAACTGAACTAGAACTGAACTGGAACTGAACTAGAACTGAACTAGAACTGAAACTAGAACTGAAATAGAACTGAACTAGAAATGAACTAGAACTGAACTAGAACTGAACTAGAACTGAACTAGAACTGAACTAGAACTGAACTAGAACTGAACTAGAACTGAACTAGAACTAAACTAGAACTGAACTAGAACTGAACTAGAACTGAACTAGAACTGAACTAGAACTGAACTAGAACTGAACTAGAACTAACTAGAACTGAACTAGAACTGAACTAGAACTGAACTAGAACTGAACTAGAACTGAACTAGAACTGAACTAGAACTGAACTAGAACTGAACTAAACTGAACTAGAACTGAACTAGAACTGAACTAGAACTCAAATATAAATCATTTTTATATAGATAGTGAGTACCATTCCTGTATTAAAAGAGCCACCAGTAAAATTCATTTGCTAAAGCAAAAACAAAAATTCACTATATAAATGTGGTTGATTATGTTTATGGCGGACAGGACAACGGCAACACGGAAGCCAGTTATGTGAGTGACTTGGCATATTCTTTTTTATTGTTTTTGTTTCTCCACTTCCCACTGCACTGGTAGGGGTATGAATTTGTACGTTGGTTTCCTTTTTCGTTGTTTTTGTTTTTGCAGGGACTTCTTGTGTTCAAGTTACTATCAAAAGCACTTAACATACTCTTAACTTACAACAGCATTTATATATTACACATGAATCATATACATATGTATGTAAGTGTATGAGCTTGTGTGGTGGTAGAAGAAAAAACAAGAAACCTCAACTCAACAACTGATGTGTTGGTATGTTGGCAGTAAAATATTTTTTTTTTTTTGTTTTGAAAACAGGCACATACCCAGCTAGCATTTTCTTTCAAAAAAGGATCTTCCGCGATTGGAGGTGGCGATTAAATTAATCTTCCACGATATCGTATTCCAATTACGAAAGTTCAACGCAACGGGAGTAACTGTGTCACAGCCGCGACTCTTCTCTATGAATCGTCTACGATGTGTTAAAAAGAGTCTTGACACAATCGTCTTAATGAATCTTCTACGATGCGATAAACAGAATCTTTACACAATCGTCTTAATGAATCTTCTACGATGCGATAAAAAGAATTATAGAAGAGTCTTGGAACGATCGTAAAGAAGATTTTAATTGATCCTAAAATGCCTAAAAATATGCTAAAAATAAAAAGTATTGATATTCGTTTTATACTGTTTATTGCATTGGCATTTTTGTCAACTTTAAATAAAAAAAAAAAAATAAATATAAATTTGAATTCAATTATGAAAATAAATACATACATATGAATAATGGAAAGAATTATGCAATAGAAAAATTATTAAAAAATAAAAGTTATTTTTCAGCCAAATCGTCAATTTTCTTGGCTTCATCAATCTTTTTGGTTCGGTCACTCTTTCTGAGACGGTCACCAGCATGAACAAAATGTTGTTGTAATACCTTATTTATACCTGCATCATCAGCTTTCGGAAATTTTGAATGGCAGACACCATTAAAAAGAAAATAATTAGAATTCAGTAAAATCATGTTATAAAAAATACTTACTTGTTATAATTTTCGTTATATTGAATTCCTGAATACTGGGCTTACTGTTCGTTCCACGCCAACTCAATTTTGCAGCCACATCATCGCTCAGCATTTTTTTAATTGCATTCCTGACAAACGAGTTGGAGCTGTCGCCACCCACTTTACCAATAACGTATTTCTGTAAAAATTTGATATGAATATATGTATATATGTATGTTTATATTAAAAAATATGTATATAGACGGATAATTATATACATACCAATTGAGCTACAATATCCACGTTCTCTTCTATTTGTTTACGTAATTCTTCCAACTGTTTTACAGTTTTACTCGTTGACCACAGTTGTAGTTAACCCGTGTTTTACTGTCCAAAGTCTAATTTTCTCTTTCACACTTTCATTACTCGGCCAATTCACTTCTTCTATATATTCAACTGGAAAATTATCGCAAACGGATGATGTTTCAGTGAAATCCGATTCAACCAATTTTTCGAAAGAACTGACTTTCATTGGGACATCATCGCAATCAGATGTTTCCCTGCCTTTAACTTGTTTTTTGGATGATCCCACTTCATTATAAGCAGACTCCATCATTGCTTTATTTGATAGCATTATAAATTATTTTATATTATAAATTTAATTTTTGATTTCTAATAAAACACTTTTTAGTTAATACACTTAGTATTTATAAGAAACTTTATTAAAAATTAAATTTTTAATTTAATAAACTTCAAAAACCACTTTTATTCTTACTTGTCTCGACACTGATTATAAACTGAGTTGAAAAGAAGACAAAATAATTTGTTTTTGCTAAACGTTTATACGTATAACGGTAAAATTCGCCCAACTATCTCCAGAATCCGTAATCGGCGATTGTTGCGTAATATAAATAAACCGGTTTGACAATAATATATGCATCATTTGGAAGAGTAAAATATGATCGTTGACTAACAACAATCCTCCGATGATCGCTAAAATACATAAGCGACGATTAATTCGTTCAACAATCGCCAAAATTACTCGCAAAAGCATCTTTTGGTACATTAAAATATATATTTTTTAAATAATCGTCAGGACGATTATAAAACGAGTCACAAAATGAAACAATCGTCTGGAAGATTGAAAAAAGATTCACAAAATGAGGACAATCGTGTGGACGATTAAAAAAATAGTCGCAAAATCATCGCGCTCGCCAATGAATCATGTAAATGCTAGCTGGGTAAAAATTGCTGCACAAACACAAATACTGGTATTTTGTAAGTGAGTAAATATGTTTGCGATGGTATGAGTGAATGTGTATGTATGCATATTTTATCATTTACTCTTGTTGATACAAACATAATAACAAGAGAATTAAACAAAAAATAAAAAAAAATATACGAAAAATATGGAAAATATTGTTACAGCAACACTCGTTATAAGTCTCACTTGCTGTAATGGTAGTGGCGGTTTTAGTTGTTTTTGCATGTAGTTATAGTAATAGTAGAAATTTCAGTGATAGTGTCAGCAGTATCTTGCACAAACATTTTCTCACACTTATATAGTTGATGTTGTAACCTTACCACATACATATATCCACACTTAAACAGAAACATATGACACCCAAGTGGCATCTGCTTTCGACACCTTAATATATGCGCAGTATTTTGTTACATGTTCCTTTCTAGCTTATTTTTCATTCATTTTCTTTATTTCCTGTATGGTTTATTAAAGTGCAGACATATGTGGATAAGGCGATAAAAAAAACTGCAACGCATAAAAACAACAATGTTGATACAAATTTAACTTATAATTGGTAATGATCGGCTATTTGGCTGCTGTAAAATAAACTACAGGAAAGTAAAAGATTGGCTTTTAAGTTAAAGCAATTTGCAGGAAAGTGTATTAAATATTTACTTCAAATGTTCTTAAAAGAGATAAACATTAAAAACATACTGCAGTATTGGAGAAATATTAAAATATTAATTACCTGATAGGACGCTGTGGTAGTAAATTATTATTATGGTTAAATGGTTTCAGCAGGCCAGTTAAAGTATATAATGTCAGTAATAAACATATGTATGGATTTAATATAGTGTTATAACGGTAAATTGATTGTAAAGAAGAATCAGTTCTAGTTCAGTTATATTTCAGTTCTAGTTCAGTTCTAGTTCAGTTCTAGTTCAATTCTAGTTCAGTTCTAGCTCAGTTCTAGTTCAGTTCTAGTTCAGTTCTAGTTCAGTTCTAGTTCAGTTCTAGTTCAGTTCTAGTTCAGTTCTAGTTCAGTTCTAGTTCAGTTCTAGTTCAGTTCTAGTTCAGTTCTAGTTCAGTTCTAGTTCAGTTCTAGTTCAGTTCTAGTTCAGTTCTAGTTCAGTTCTAGTTCAGTTCTAGTTCAGTTCTAGTTCAGTTCTAGTTCAGTTCTAGTTCAGTTCTAGTTCAGTTCTAGTTCAGTTCTAGTTCAGTTCTAGTTCAGTTCTAGTTCAGTTCTAGTTCAGTTCTAGTTCAGTTCTAGTTCAGTTCTATTTCAGTTCTAGTTCAGTTCTAGTTCAGTTCTAGTTCAGTTCTAGTTCAGTTCAAGTTCAGTTCAAGTTCAGTTCAAGTTCAGTTCTAGTTCAGTTCTATTTCAGTCTAGTTCAGTTCTAGTTCAGTTCTAGTTCAGTTCTAGTTCAGTTCTAGTCTAGTTCAGTTCTAGTTCAGTTCTAGTTAGTTCTAGTTCAGTTCTAGTTCAGTTCTATTTCAGTTCTAGTTCAGTTCTATTTCAGTTCTAGTTCAGTTCTAGTTCAGTTCTAGTTCAGTTCTAGTTCAGTTCTAGTTCAGTTCTAGTTCAGTTCTAGTTCAGTTATATTTCAGTTCTAGTTCAGTTCTAGTTCAGTTCTAGTTCAATTCTAGTTCAGTTCTAGCTCAGTTCTAGTTCAGTTCTAGTTCAGATCTAGTTCAGTTCTAGTTCAGTTCTAGTTCAGTTCTAGTTCAGTTCTAGTTCAGTTCTAGTTCAGTTCTAGTTCAGTTCTAGTTCAGTTCTAGTTCAGTTCTAGTTCAGTTCTAGTTCAGTTCTAGTTCTGTTCTAGTTCAGTTCTAGTTCAGTTCTAGTTCAGTTCTAGTTCAGTTCTAGTTCAGTTCTAGTTCAGTTCTAGTTCAGTTCTAGTTCAGTTCTAGTTCAGTTCTAGTTCAGTTCTAGTTCAGTTCTAGTTCAGTTCTAGTTCAGTTCTAGTTCAGTTCTAGTTCAGTTCTAGTTCAGTTCTAGTTCAGTTCTAGTTCAGTTCTAGTTCAGTTCTAGTTCAGTTCTAGTTCAGTTCTATTTCAGTTCTAGTTCAGTTCTAGTTCAGTTCTAGTTCAGTTCTAGTTCAGTTCAAGTTCAGTTCAAGTTCAGTTCAAGTTCAGTTCTAGTTCAGTTCTATTTCAGTTCTAGTTCAGTTCTAGTTCAGTTCTAGTTCAGTTCTAGTTCAGTTCTAGTTCAGTTCTAGTTTAGTTCTAGTTCAGTTCTAGTTCAGTTCTATTTCAGTTCTAGTTCAGTTCTATTTCAGTTCTAGTTCAGTTCTAGTTCAGTTCTAGTTCAGTTCTAGTTCAGTTCTAGTTCAGTTCTAGTTCAGTTCTAGTTCAGTTCTAGTTCAGTTCTAGTTCAGTTCTAGTTCAGTTCTAGTTCAGTTCTAGTTCAGTTTAGTTCAGTTCTAGTTCAGTTCTAGTTCGTCTATTGTTCTAGTTCAGTTCTAGTTCAGTTCTAGTTCAGTTCTAGTTCAGTTCTAGTTCAGTTCTAGTTCAGTTCTAGTTCAGTACTAGTTCAGTTCTAGTTCAGTTCTAGTTCAATTCTAGTTCAGTTCTAGTTCAGTTCTAGTTCAGTTCTAGTTCAGTTCTAGTTCAGTTCTAGTTCAGTTCTAGTTCAGTTCTAGTTCAGTTCTAGTTCAGTTCTAGTTCAGTTCTAGTTCAGTTCTAGTTCAGTTCTAGTTCAGTTCTAGTTCAGTTCTAGTTCAGTTCTAGTTCAGTTCTAGTTCAGTTCTAGTTCAGTTCTAGTTCAGTTCTAGTTCAGTTCTAGTTCAGTTCTAGTTCAGTTCTAGTTCAGTTCAGTTCTAGTTCAGTTCAGTTCTAGTTCGGTTCTAGTTCAGTTCTAGTTCAGTTCTAGTTCAGTTCTAGTTCAGTTCTAGTTCAGTTCTAGTTCAGTTCTAGTTCAGTTCTAGTTCAGTTCTAGTTCAGTTCTAGTTCAGTTCTATTTCAGGTTCTAGTTCAGTTCTCAGTTCAGTTCTAGTTCAGTTCTAGGTTCCAAGTTCTAGTTTCAGTCTAGTTCAGTTCTAGTTCAGTTCTAGTTCAGTTCTAGTTCAGTTCTAGTTCAGTTCTAGTTCAGTGTTCTAGTTCAGTTCTAGTTCAGTTCCCTAGTTCAGTTCTAGTCTAGTCCAGTTCTAGTTCAGTTCTAGTTCAGTTCTAGTTCAGTTCTAGTTCAGTTCTAGTTCAGTTCTAGTTCAGTTCTAGTTCAGTTCTAGTTCAGTTCTAGTTCAATTCTAGTTCAGTTCTAGTTCAGTTCTAGTTCAGTTCTAGTTCAGTTCTAGTCATTTCTAGTTCAGTTCTAGTTCAGGTTCTAGTTCAGTTCTAGTTCAGTTCTAGTTCAGTTCTAGTTCAGTTCTAGTTCAGTTCTAGTTCAGTTCTAGTTCAGTTCTAGTTCAGTTCTAGTTCAGTTCTAGTTCAGTTCGAGTTCAGTTCTAGTTCAGTTCTAGTTCAGTTCTAGTTCAGTTCTAGTTCAGTCTAGTTCAGTTCTAGTTCAGGTTCTAGTTCAGTTCTAGTTCAGTTCTAGTTCAGTTCTAGTTCAGTTCTAGTTTCAGTTCTAGTTCAGTTCTAGTTCAGTTCTAGTTCAGTTCTAGTTCAGTTCTAGTTCAGTTTCTAGTTCAGTTCTAGTTCAGTTCTAGTTCAGTTCTAGTTCAGTTCTAGTTCAGTTCTAGTTAGTGCTAGTTCAGTTCTAGTTCAGTTCTAGTTCAGTTCTAGTTCAGTTCTAGTTCAGTTCTAGTTCCGTTTAGTTCAGTTCTAGTTCAGTTCTAGTTCAGTTCTAGTTCAGTTCTAGTTCAGTTATAGTTCAGTTCTAGTTCAGTTCTAGTTCAGTTCTAGTTCAGTTCTAGTTCAGTTCTAGTTCAGTTCTAGTTCAGTTCTAGTTCAGTTCTAGTTCAGTTCTAGTTCAGTTCTAGTTCAGTTCTAGTTCAGTTCTAGTTCAGTTCTAGTTCAGTTCTAGTTCAGTTCTAGTTCAGTTCTAGTTCAGTTCTAGTTCAGTTCTAGTTCAGTTCTAGTTCAGTTCTAGTTCAGTTCTAGTTCAGTTCTAGTTCAGTTCTAGTTCAGTCTAGTTCAGTTCTAGTTCAGTTCTAGTTCAGTTCTAGTTCAGTTCTAGTTCAGTTCTAGTTCAGTTCTAGTTCAGTTCTAGTTCAGTTCTAGTTTCAGTTCTAGTTCAGTTCTAGTTCAGTTCTAGTTCAGTTCTAGTTCAGTTCTAGTTCAGTTCTAGTTCAGTTCTAGTTCAGTTCTAGTTCAGTTCTCGTTCAGTCTAGTTCAGTTCTAGTTCAGTTCTAGTTCAGTTCTAGTTCAGTTCTAGTTCAGTCTAGTTTCAGTTCTAGTTCAGTTCTAGTTCAGTTCTAGTTCAGTTCTAGTTC